ATTTTTCTAGGTTAACTACACAGTCGCTCACCGACAATGGTGTCAAAAACTTTATCAGACCTGGACCTACAGTGGTGCCAACACTTTGGTACACACTAATTTTAAGTGCAAAGGTCTCACTTAAGTATACTTATCGTACAAGTAATATCAAATTTTTAAGTTCGGGATATCGATCCCATAGGGAGTGACTTAATTAACTTAAAGAAGTTCTAGCTTACTAAAATTGGTCTTAGCTTGGAAGTAATATTGGTTTAGGTTTTTCTAACTAGTCATAATGAATCTTGACAAACTACTATTGATGGTTTACTCCTATAGAAATCCTACTAAAATTTGAATTTGGGAAAAATCAAGATATAGAATCTACCCTCCCTCGTAATTATACAGATAGTGTGTAAGAAAATGAATAAATTAAATCGTAACTAGGGCTAGTGAAAAAAAGGAACAATTCTCTTCTTTACCCTCTCCCGAGTGCATAAAAAAGTTTGGTTAAACAAGTTTTAATTTCTTAAACCTCTATTTGAACCCATCAAAAGATTATTTCCCTATCTATTCACATCTCCTTATAGTTTACTTTTGCTCTATACCCTATGATTCAACGTGATCTTCTTAGTTGTTCATACCATAGCTTTCCCGAGTAATTATAGGTTTACAACGGATTTTGACAAATCAGTTGGCTAGAATGATAAGTAAATGAAATGCAGAAGGAAAATCATCACATTAAATAGTAAACACCAATTTTCAAATTATTATAATATCCATACACAAATGATCTACTTATAAAGCATAGAAAAATGACCGCAAAACATCTTTGAAACAAAGCAAATCAACCAGAATTGCGTTTACAAAAAAATTATAACAAAAGAGTACATAATACTTAGTCTTTTCCCTTTACAAAGTGCTTGAAATTCCTCCTCAAAGGAACTCCCAATACATGCTGCTTTGTTGAATTTCCTCTCTATCATTATGCCTCAAACTCTACACCAAACTCTCAATAAAATGCAAAATATCTTCTACTACTACATGACTCTGACTCTAAACTTTACATGGACTTCCCAAGTGTTCAGAAGTACTCAGCATACTCCAAGGAACTTTCTATATTTCTCTATAACTCCCCAAATCATGTTAGAAAAATTGTTGAAATCTGCCTAGCAGTTGTTGGCACCTTAGCGCCAGCCTCTTTGTCTAGTCGGGTAAGCACTGGCGCCTAAGCACCCAAGTAGATTACGCCAAGGCCCCAGGTAGGAGCTCTCTGTCGCTCAATGGTTGACGCCTAAAATAACTTTCTTTAAATTGCAATTTTATCCATAAAAATGTCAAAATATAAAGAAAATTAAGCATGATTTTGTACACATCATTATCACCAACAAATTGCTGCATAACAACTGTGCCCACCACTAGTTTACATAATGTAGTGTATGCCACCACTTTAGAAATAAAAGATTTAACATTGCTTAAAATAGTCTTAGCATTATTCAAAACCATATAGTGCTTCCTTTTGTTTCTTTCCAACCAAAGCAACCAATATGTCATATATGGAATAACATTTTGCAAATGTAGTTTATTACTACCTCTCCTCAAAAATAGCAAAACTGTTGCAAATCATCGAACCCAAAATACAACATATTAATATTATATGATCTAGTAAGGTGTTTCCATATTTCCACTGAGATTTCATGTTTGAAAAAAAGGTGATGCAAATGTTCCTCATCAATTCTACAAAATAAGCAAATAGAAGCATTATGTAGTCCCATAAGCTTTAAAATATTATCTAAAGGTAACAATAGGTAATGTAAGCACCACACAAAAAAAGATTGTGATGATTTCAACATATAAGTCCATGCATTACTGCCCCAATCCACAACAAAAAATTGATTTAATTTTTCAACAATCGAAGTGACAAGGGAAACGTGAGAATTTAGTTTAACCCTTAAAGCTCTTTCATGGGTTTTATCAAAACCCAAAACAACAATATAAGAAACCAAACCATTACTAAGAAATTTCAAAAGTTCCCGAGTCTTCCGAATCTCCCAACCCAAAAATCATGTGGTATGCACAGAAGCAGAGAAATGCGACAAGAGAACCGAAAAGAGTCCAATTATCAAACTAAAAGCAAATATTGCCAACACTAATGTCTCAAGCTGTAAGTTCTTCAACTTTATGACATATTTTTAAAGGCTCTTTCCAAATTAAAGAATTTCCTAATTTTCACATACTAAAAAGAGGGTGGGAGTATTTAAGACAAAAGCATTTTCTAAATATGTGGGATCATTGGTTATAGAAATGCTTATATTCACATAATAAATGACGAATTATGGAAACAAATATATAGACTTTTGGATTGCTATAGTAAAATAGTTAAATTTTTTTATGAAATCTAATTTAATAACTTAAAAAGATAAAATTTATAAAAAATAATATAATGTTTTGTTGAAGAATTTATACAAATACTAAATCATTCAAAGATTTAAAATTTAATAATAATAAATAATAATAATAATAATAATAATAATAATAATAATAATAAACTAAACACAAATCAAAATTTTGATTTGATCATATCAAACTTGACCTTTTTGGATAATTGAGTTTATTTCAATCAACTTTAGCTCCGGGCTTTCTTTATATAAATAACCACATGATACTGAAATTTCTACATAAGAAAATCTTAGGTCCACCAATCATGAATTTATTATTATCAAAATTATAGAGTTAACATAATTATATCTTTCACAACATTTGGATTCAAAATATTGTGTTGCCAATCATGGTCTGTTGGTAGAACAACCTCTTTGAAGGTCGTAAGTTTCCTTAGGTCACGTGTTCGAATCCCTTCTCTGACCAATTTATCGGTAGTGAGGTTGATCCTCGAATAATTAGACACATGAGGTTGCCTGAGGGCTTGTATAATAATCTCCTACTATATATATATATATATATGCCTGTATGTATGTATGTATCAATGCTTATTTTATTAAGTCAAGAATTCAAAATCTTTGTGATTTTATTAATACACGAATTCAAAATCTTTGTAATAAATGATGAATTATGAAAACAAATATATAGAATTTTCGATTGCTATAGTAAAATAGTTAAATTTTTTTATGAAATCGAATTTGATAACTTAAAAAAATAAAAATTATGAAATAATAATATAATGTTTTGTTGAAGAATTTCTAAAAAGTATTGAATTATTCACATATTTAAAATTTAATAATAATAATAATAATAATAATAATAATAATAATAATAATAATAATATTATTATTATTATTATTATTATTATTATATAATTAACTAAACACAAATCAAAATTTTGATTTGATTATATCAAACTTGACCTTTTTTTTATAATTGATCTTATTTCGATCAACTTGAGCTCTAGGTTTCTTTCATATAGATAACGGCATGATATTGAAATTTCTCCATAAGAAAATTTTAGGTCCACTGATCATGAGTTTGTTATCATCAAAATTGTAGAGTCAACATAATTATATCTTTCACCAATTGAACATAAAACATTTAGATTCAATACACTTTAATCTTGAATATTCTTTGGAAAAGAAATATTTTAATTACTTTCTTTGTTTTTATATATAAATATTTTATTTCTAGCCATTTGATAAAAGTTAAATAGCTAAAAACCGATTAACATTAGAATAAACTTGTATATCAAAAATATGACTAATTCATTTGTTCAATTGCAGAATTTGGTTAGTTCTATATGAAGGTGGATTTGGAAGCCAACTTAAGTAGCAAGAGGATCGATTCATGGGTGAAGCAATTGGTCTGCCATAATTTTTTAAGTTGAAAAAAAAAATTACAAAAATTGTAGATGGTAATCTAACAATTGAATAGAATTAATAAGTAGACAATGCCATTAATCTTCATTATAAAAGGGGGTTAATTATGATCATCACATAGAGAAGAACAACATATAAAGAGATAGGGCTTAGCAACTTCAGAGAGATGAGAAGAAAAAGGATGCAGGATGAGATTTGGAAAATAGATTAATTTTTAACGATAAGGTCCAAAAATCATTATTTCTTGGTTTTCATTAGGGTAAGGTAAGAAATTCTTAGTAAAAAAACAAAGGTAAAACATAAAGGTCGTGACCAATTTATCGGTATTAAGGACAATACTTGAATAGTTAGACACATGAGGGTGGTTAGGAGCTTGTATAATAGTCTCCGACCATTCTTTTTAATATATATAGTTTAGAGACGCGTACTCAGACCAGTTGGTCGGGCATCTGCTTGTCAGTTGTAAGTCCCCGCTAGTTTGGGGTTCGAATCCCCCCGAGTGTAGGGTGTAATGCTCGAATTGTTAGGCGCATTAGGGATGGTCGGGAGTCGTATAATAGCCTCCGACCATTCCTTTTAAATACATAGCTATATACATGAAGTGAGAGAGATTGAAATTTGAAACTACCTTACTTTCTCTAAAATAAAGCAACAAGAATGAAAATATACCTTTCCAGCTGGCATTCTCAAACATAGAGCTTTGAAGGTTTATAATTGATAAATTATGCTTCTTTCCCTTGTATCAAAAGTAATTGCTGCATATCACAGCATCAGCCATTTCAAATAAGGTTTACTAGAACCTTAATTGCTGCATATCACAGCATCAGCCATTTCAAATTCTTCCTCAAGATACATGGAAGAACTCAAACTAGCCATTTAATCCTTAAGATGATTAGGCAATACTGATGGATTTTTTCCCTTAACACGAAATTGCCAATAAAGCCAATTGATTCTCTCCAGGGCTCAAAAAACCAAAAATAGGCAGACTTCAATTATTCATTTATTTTTAATTTATTTAATCGTATGAAATTTAAATTAGTAGATTTAAAAAGATTTTCAAAGACAACTCACCCAATTTGACCAATTTTAAATGTAACTTTGCCCAACAACTCCAGTCTTCTCCACTAAAAACTGGTGTAATCATTTATTTCCTCTTTAATTACTTAAAAATAATACAACTAAAATTAAAGGAGAAAAAGGAAATCCAAGAAGCATGCTAAAATTAGACTGTATGAGTGGATACAATTATTTACTTTGTGAGATATGGTGGCAATTTTCAAATGCTTTGAGGAGGGAGGGAGATTACAGCAATATGGCTTCATATGACTAGATTTTTCTTCGTGCACTACGTCTGACGGAGTCCAGATCAATTAGCCGTGATACCGGAGCAGGCGAAGGAGCTTTCAGGCCAACCGATTCAGGGATCTCGAGATCAGTATTTGTAGGTGCACCGGCTGTGCGCCTCATGTCTGAATGAACTTTGATCCGCTCCTTTTCAATCTGCGTGGAATTTTAAATTACTAATAATTTCGAGAAGAAAAATATCATGACTGGAAAAATTAAAAAAAAAAAAAGAAAAGGATTTTCTAAGAGGTCTATTTTTATAACACTTTATGAATTGCAATTTGAAAAATAAATAGCTTTAATACATTGAAATTAAGGAAAATATTTTTCTATATGTTGCTAACCATGGAAATTAATCATGGCAACTAAGATTGTGGACTTGAATGCTTTGAGAAAAAGGAAGAACCTGACATAGGGAGATGAAGAGAATAAGAGAAATTAATTCCTTGAAAGAAAAGAGGCAAGTAAAGAGGAGACGATGATCCTAAAATTAAAAGCCAGAATATATGGCACAATGTGATGGCCCTATCAATAGGTTTTAAGCTAGAGGAGATGAAGCAACCATTAGATCCAAATCTAGTGACAAATCAAGCTTGAGAGGACTTTGATGGTTTTGAAGGCTTAGAAGCCTATTATGCCTATTTCCATTATGTTATGTAATATTTAATTTCCTTAAGATTGTGTTAATTATATGTGCTTATGTACATTGTATGTATTATTTATGTCGAAATCAAATATTTGCTTATGTGGAGTCAAGGCATGCTTAGGTGGCATTGACCCTTGGTCAATGCATGATATAGAAGCTTGTAAAAGGGGCCGGCCATAGGTGGTTTGGGTAGTTATAAGAGGGGGTCGACCACTCCCTCTCTCCTAATATTATTAGGTGCTTTAATATCAAATAAGCGTGATGAAAGGTTGCTTAGCAATTTGTATTTGATTTGACCTTTACTCTTAAATGAAAAATGTTGGTTGAGTGAACATTTGGATGAATTATTTTCAGTCAGTTTGAAGCTTGGTAGCCGATCGCCCAAGGGATTTCATGATCACCTAGAAAACATGCTTTTGATGAGTATAAATTTTCAGTTTTCTGCACTTCTTTCCCACAAGTATTGTATTGTTTGTGTTAGTGGTGTTGTCTACTATTATGTCCCAAAAAAATCAAAACCCCTAAATCTTGTCTTTTATGTTCAAAGAAAATCAAAATCCCAAAATCAATAGTTTTTTGGAAAAACCCGCGTCAGTTCAACTGCTTGTCCTAATTCACAAATTAAATTATTTTGATAAATTTTGAATTTAATATGTTCGTTTAATTCCCTACTTCAAAGATATAAAAAGATATTAGAAGTGTTATGTTAAAATTATTGGAGAAAAGTGTACCCAAAGAAAGCTCTAAATTCTTGTCTTGTGTTTCTAGTTTTTTTTTTTTTTAATTTTCTGTCCACAAATCCATATCCCTTATGGTCCAAACCCAATAATACACTCAAGATTAATATTAGAGTGTTTCTAATACTATTTTCATTTTAAATTATTAAATTCTCATACTTCCACAAAATAATCTAAGCCAATTTTCCAAACTAGTTTACCTCTGAATAGAAACTGACCAATCTTCAGTATATCTCTGTTTCATCATATCAAATGAATGCCAAACTTACAGAACTTTCTAGTCAGCATTTAACACCCTACCATATAATTTAAATGTTTGTTTGAATAATTTTGAGATATGCTGAGAAAGTTCTAAGTGCTTGAGGTGAAACTTCCAAATTTCGAACAGAATCTGGACTCTAATTCCAAACACGATTTACAATTGAACTCTTCTACCAATATGTGATCTCCTATCCCTTGAAGGAGATTGAGTCCACCTAGAACACTTCTTGGTGATATTGATCCTTCCGAAACAGCCATAATCTCACACCTTCCTTATTATTCTTGGAATCAGAGCTTGGTTAGGTGAACAAGCGGTTAACCTTATGAAACTTTGTAAAATGTGACGTTTGGCAAGGCTTTTGCAACTCTTGATATTCAACACTTTGAAATAATCTTTATCATTCCCTTGATTTAGTTTCTTTCATTTGGTATTTCAATTCTATTACAAGTATTAGTGACAAATCTACATATTCGATGCATATTATGTCACCATTTCAGTTAGCACTAGCTAAGTTAGCACAACAATCAAGCCTGGTCAATTCACTTGAACTTACCCATTCATAACTTAACTCGAGCGACACCTAAAATGCAGAGAGCTCTACATTGCAAATTAAGCATACACCCATTGATTTCTAATAGATAGGGAAAAAATCTATGTGAACTATTCCTATTTCAATTTTTGTGACTAAACAAATTTGTTTTGTTATTTGTGTTTCTATTATTGTTTTAACATATTGTAAAGGCTTAAGGAAATTTTTATATTTGCATATTATCATTTGGAATCACATTTTAGTTTAACATAGTAAACATATCATATTTAAAAGAAACAAATATATATATATATATATATATATATAGATAAATTTTAAATCATTGCATAATAAACCATGCCGCCTAAATCGGCAAGTCAAAATCAATTGTATTCAACTAATAGGATAATAGAAGAGCTTAACAAGCAAACCAATAAACAAATTATCCTACTTATGGATCTAATCACAAACTTGGCAAACCAATTCCAAGACATTAGCCTTAGGTTGTCAAATCCTTTGTTAGTTAACAATCCCACAAACATAAACCATTCGGAAGAAGACTTTTAGAAGAACATAGAGACACCATACTACCACAAAATGACGAGAAAAAAAAAACCTACAAATTAGCATGTTTGAAACTTTGAAACTCAATTAGAACCCATTAAAAAAGTCAAAGTTGATACACTTAGCTGTGATGGAGTCCATGGCCCCAATAAGTTCCTTGATTGTCTCACCAAAATAGATGCATTTTTTGAGTGGTACCAGATTGATAGCTACTAAATAATCACCTTTGCAAAAATAAAATTAAGCAGTCATGCTAAATTCTTTTGGACCAGCCTTTTGATTAAGAAACAGAGGCTACGAAGACAACTCACATGGGTAGAAATGAAGAGATGTTTACAGCTAAGTATTGCCCTAGAAACCATAAGAAACTCCATGAACAGTTGATGACTTTAAGACAGTGTAATATGCAAGTGGTTGAATACATGAACCAATTTGAAGGCTTAATTTTCATGACACATTGCAGTAACCCTGAGTGGCAACTAGCCAATAAGTTCACAATTGGAATTCATAGTGAGATCCGCTATGAAGTAGAGCTTCAAGAACCACAAACACTTAAGAGGATGTTTTCCAGCATTACTTCTACAAAAACATAAGAATGCCACTTCAAACTCCCGACCTAGAGGTCCAGGCTCTTCAATTTTATCTTCCTCATATACAAGCTAAATATCTGCCACCAGACCTATACCACCACCCACTAGTGGCCAAACCAATATGATCATACATGAGCCTTCATCCAAAACCACGAAAATAATTTGCTCAAGTGTCATAAAAAGGACCATATGCAACACCAGTGCAAGAACAAGATTATGTTTCTTGATGGGGTTGATGAAGGGTTAGAAGATGATAAGGTGGAGAAGTAGAGGAGATCCATGAAGACACCGCACTTTCTAATGAAGAAGTTGAACATGTAGACACCCCATCAAGTGTGCTCAAATGCTTATCTGCTCTAGGTAAGAAAACTGGAGGAAGAATTTGTTCTCCATATATCAAGGAGAAGAGGCATATGATGATGATCTATGGAGGTAGTACTACAAATGTGATATCCACTCAAGTCTTATCTAGAACTGCCCTTAAACCAAAGCCTCATCCAGAGTCATTCCCTGTCACTTGGGTAAATCACACTTCCCTACCCACATGACTAGATGTTTGGTATCTATCAAGATAAAAAGTTATATCGATCACAATTGACATGATGTCTTCTCCATAAAAATCACACATATCATATTCCGTCCACCAAGAATTAATGAATTGAATGTCATTCACTATGGAAGAGAGACCACTCATGTGTTGAAATTTAATGATAAAAACCATTAAAGCCTTCTTTTTGAAGCCAACTGAAAAGAAGGCAATCAGATCTCATAAAATTTACCTAACATCTCAAACGTCAAAACCTTCAAAAGTGAGTAGAGAACTTCCACCACATAAAATATTCCCTACACCTTGATATGACCTTCAGCCTAAACCAAGCCAAAAAAAGAACGCTAAGCTTCACTTGATTATATTTTTCCCTACTAATGGGGGGAGTCCTTCATAAATCATTGTTGAGTCCTACACATTCAACATCACATTGTAACATTAGTATTATCAAAAGTAGGATTCAACACCATTAAGAAATAACTTTTTGGCCCATGACCCAAATAATTGCTTCATGTTAGAAAAGCTGCACCAAACCTATTAAAATTAAAATTGTCAAGGTAGCATTTTTACTATCTGAATTTCTGGAACAATATCTCGATGACCTATCAGATAGGCTCCCACCTCTACGAGATATCCAACATGCTGAAGATTTTATCTCGGGTCCACAGCTACTAAATCTACCCCATTATAGAGTGAACCCCACTAAACATGCTTAAACTAAGAGGCAAATTGATGAACTGTTAAGAAAATATTTCATCCAAGAAAATCTTAGTTCTTGTGTAGTTCCAACATTATTAGCCCTTAAAAAAGATGGCAATTGGAGAATGTATATTAAAAGTAGAACAATCAATAAGATTACTATCAAATATAAATTTTCAATTCCTCGATTGGTTTATATGTTAGATCTTGTCAAAAATATCCATCTTTCTCCAAGAGTTACCTAAAAAGTGGCTATCAACATATTAGGATAAGGATAGGGGATGAATGGTACATAGCTTTTAAGGCCCCTCATGAACTATAATGAGTGGTTAGTCATATATTTTGGACTATCCAATTCCCCCGATACTTTCATGAGACTCATGAATACAATTCTAAAACTCTTTATAGGAAAATTTTTGTGGTCTATTTTGATGACATTCTAATTTTCAACTCTAATGAGAAAGACCACCTACTGAAACTACAACACGAAAACTCTACATCACTATTAAGAAATGTTCCTTTTGTAGGTTTAAAGTTACTTTTCTGGGGTCTATTGTTACTTTAATGGTTTGGAAGCCGATC